AAAGGAGGAACGTAGGAAAAAGAAAGAAAAACCAAAGAAATCAACTGTGAGTAAGCAAAGCAAATAGAAGATAAATGTGCGATCTATCACTCTTAATCTTAATCTTTCATTTATGTTTTAATATATTCTTTTCTTTAGACAGAGGAAACAAAGGAGACTGAAAATAACGAAACAGAGCAAACATCTGCAGGAACAGATAATAAATTGCCAAAAGGTTCAATTATTTACTTTTCTGGTGTTTCCAAAACGTGTACAAGAGAAGATGTCAAGGAATGCTTAGACAAATTCGATGCTGATATCGCATACATCGATTTCCAAAGGGGACAAACAGAAGGTTGGGTACGTTTACAGGGAGAAAATGCTGCCAAACCTTTGTTAGAAAAGACAAATGAAGGCAAGGTGAGAGGAAAAAAAATATCCACAAAATTTTTTTCATTTTATAATAGTTCCTCTGATAATCTTGAAATTACAATAATCAAGCAAAACATTTTTCTTGCTTCAAGGTGGTAATCCAAGACATTGAAGTTACCTGTAAAATGCTTGAGGGTGAAGAAGAAGACAAATATCTCGCTAAAGCGATGGAAGATATAGTAGCTTCAAAGAACAAATACAATAAATCCAAGCGAGGCGCTAAGAAAGGTGGTAAAAGATCATTTTAAAATACAATTGTTAACTACTAAATATATATATAATGATGCTTTGCCATGCTAATACTGAGAAGTTTATACATATAAATTATGTATATATTTCGCTGAGTTAAAATTCTTAAAACAACTGAATTCCTTATTACGACACAAAATAATTTTGTATTTTAAAAAAACAATTACTAATAAAATTTTTTATGTTTAAAGGACGTGGCGCACGGGGTGCGAAAAAGAGAGGTAACAGTCCCTCGCACGATACAGTTCCTGCTAAGAAAAGAGCTGTTGAATAAGATTGATTTATCCTGAAACCTTCAAAGTTACATAGTGTATATTACACTTTATTTTCATTGCATTAACGAATTACATAGAGAAAAGGAAATATTAAATTATGTCTAGCATAATTTATTATATTTGAAACTGATTTGCTTTAAATTTTTCGTTACATTATCTTTTCATGTATATTATTTTAAATACTTTGAAAATATAGCTTCGTCTATATTTAGTTAGATGCGTGCGTTAATGTTTAATTATTTAACATTTCACCGCTGACCCAAAATTTAAAAGATGATATGATAATTTTACTACTCGACGATTAGCAAACAAAAATCGCCATGTATTTTTATAAATTGGCATTTATTGTTGTACAGTGAAATTTACAAATTGGTTTTTTTTCTCTAGACTAGAACACGTATTTAAATTTCACTGTCGTTTTACGTGCGTCAATACTACCTTCACGCAAGTATCACAACGTGTTAAAAGATCATATCATTCGCGAACAGTTACTTTGAAAAATTATACGTAATGACGTATGTACGTACTTAAAACTATTGTAATCGGCAATATGATTTTACGCGACACTGAGTCTGTGCATATTACGCTACATGGTATTTAATTACAGCTTTACGGTCTTACATTATATTGATACATATGTATAGTTTCATGTGCCGAGGAATCGTATCGATTAGATGAATCTTATTTTTTTAGACAGTCTCAATATTTAATGATTTTGGAACTCATTCTAGGTGGAAAAAGATATTGTTTCTTTTTCTAATCGTAAGATAACAGTTAAATTGTTAGAAAACTCAGTTCTTGTATTATTTGTTATCGTTCTGTATGAATAAATTTTAGGTTTACATTCCTTACCACAATCTTAATAATCAAGATATAAATGTAATAGAAACATTTTAGTATGTAAAAACCTGTCAGTGGTCGTGTCTATATTTTCCGTTTTTCATATTGCTGTGCCTGATTTTTGTTATATTGAATACTAGCATAATTATATTCCATTCCATTATATCCTGAGAAGCGCATTTCCTCTTCGCGCGTGGACTGATTTAGTTGCATACAATGACGAAGATGATTTTCAAAACTTGATATCTGTGTTGAGTATTAGCGGTCTCAGTGATCTCAGGTCATGAATATTAATTCAGGATTAAGAACTCTCTACAAAGATAAAATGTATCTCTGTAAACACGAGCGCGATCACGTCTTAGGATTGGTCGTGGAAGAGAGAGAAAGAGAGAGAGAGAGAGAGAGAGAGAGAGAGAGAGAGAGAGAGAGAGAGAGA